ACTGAAAATTCATAATTTGAGTTCCGAGTGTCCGATTGAGGTCCCGTTCGAAGTGTTAGGAAGCTGACACAATGAAATTTAACTTAAAATAAGTTTCAGTACCTGGACAATATTTAATTAATGCGTGATGGTGTTGTATGGTATGCGGGGTATATGTTGTGTTGTAGTAATGTGTGTTATGTTGTTACTTGCTATATTATTATATTGTTGTTGCTGAATGTTTATAGCATGTGTGTGGTGTATGGTGGCCAGCATTTACATATTATATTTATCATGGTGAACATCGTTGTACATGTTGTTGTTGTATGTCTTGAATGAGTCATGCATCATGGTGTTTGAACAGAGGTCTGTTTTGGTGAGCCACAATCCTATGGTGAGAATTGGGTGCGAGAAGCTAATTCCTATGGTGGTGGAATTAGTGAAGCGTTACCTATGACTATGGTAACAATTTTGGTGTGCTCCGATCCTAGGTGGGGATTAGAGCAAGTGAACCTGACAGTTCACATTTGGTACCACATGCATTGAGTCCTGAGTTGAGTCTCTTTGCATCTGCATACATGTTGCATTATGATGTGTGGATTATTTGGAGTGTGAGTTGTGGAATGGGTGGTTATGCATATGTTGTTGGCGTGCTCACATATTATTATACATTTCTTTATATGATTGTGATTTCTCACCCTTTCTGTTTAAATGTTGCCTTTACATGTGCATTGTGCAGATAATCCACAACAGAGGCTTGGATTGTGAGTGGAAGATATTGCTCTTTGTTTTACTTTTTATTGAGTCGGCGTCTGCTTTGATATGTAACACTGAAAATGGAGCGCTTATTTAATTACTTTATGTTTTGTGGAGTTTACCATGTGATCTTTGATGTTTATTAGTTTCTCACTATTACTTTATATCGCGGTTGTGTTTTAAAATATTAAAGATAATCGGTTGTTGATGCTTTTCCGCTGTTAAATAAAAATTGAAGTTCAGACTTTCTGATTATGGCTATTATTATTATTATTGTTATTTTATTAAAGATATATTGCAATTATTATTTTAAAAGTTGTATGTGTTAATTACATATCCTATTGCATGAGCTATTTGGTGATAAAGTAGCATTCTAATTGTGTGGTAATTTTAATTTACTCTGATTTTATTTATAAATTATGCAGGGAAAATTAGGGTGTTACATGAAGACACAATACACATTTTTATAAAGACAACAAATGAAGACACAATACACATTTTTTCTAAATTAAAATACGTATTATTACCTATGATAGTTACTGACTTAGGGGTATGAGTGTTTGCAGAGACTACCCTTTTTTGCTATCAGACCAAGATACCAGCAAATCAGCTACAAGCTTAAATACACCATCAAATATAGATCGGCAATTCTAATAATGAACACCTCAAATTTACACGAGTTCATATTTTCTGCATGTGGAAAACACTTTCCTTACCTCATACTGAGATGGTATGTTCTTCAGGAGGCAATTTCCAACAGAGCCTCCCTAAAAAATTATGACAAGAACATTCCACAAATGTGATAGAAGGAATCAACCCAAGTTGACTATGATGAGGGAGAGAATACACACTCTCATCAACTCCTTAGTTAACACTCCAATATAATCTTCAATCTATGGCATGCGTTGACGCACAACTGTGTACAGTTCGGGAGGTCTTAGCCATAAATTATTTTCTCAAGAACATGATATAAAATTCAATCCAATTATTCTTCGTTGACAATGATCCACCTTGTTCTGATTAAAATGATTTTTTTTCTCTTGCGGAAAATTTCACAAAAATGCTTACTTCTTGAGAACTCTATTGTCCTTCTACAATGAAACAATAGAGATTTATTGTTATTTGTAATTTGCGTGTAATTCATATTACTCATTTATTTTATTAAAATTGTACCTTGAGTTACGCTCTCATTCAATAATTTATATTTGAACCCATTTCAATATTATTTTAGCTTGAGCAAGTTGGTCGAAGTCACATCTTGTGTGTCTTGAATCACAAGTCAGAAAACTTTAAACAAGGTTTTTTGAATCTTGATTGATAATCTTGATTCAAATCAAACATATGGAAGTTTTAAATCAAACATAAACTTGAAATTTGAATTTTTTTCTCTTACTATTTGATTCGAATCAAGAATGTGTGTGATTCAAATCACAATATTCCTTTCGTCGAATCACAAGAACTTTTGATTCGAATCATGACAATCAAATATTTTTTTAAAAAACAACCATGATTCTAATCATACTTTCATTTGGCTCGAATCATGAGTACAAACCATGATTCAATCTTGGATGGTCAACGTAAGATGTCGCATGAGATATGTTCATGTTGATATCTTAAAAGAGATGATATTTTTTTTAAAGAGAGATCAAAATCCATATTTTCACAAACCTTGAGAAAAAACCATGCAAATTTTTACTTTCACAAAACACTATTCTTCTTTAATTCAACCTTATGAAAAACTTTTTAGAAGGTTGATATTGTGAGATATAAGTTGTGTTATGTGAGAAACTTTAAATAACCTTTATCATCTTCAATGTTGAACTAAGAAACTATTATTGTGGTGCTCAACTCTAAAAATTGAGTTTGAGTTATAGATCCAAGGTACATTAGGGAAATTAATGTTTTTTTTGAAATTTTAATGTATATCAGAATAAAAATGGGGAGAAATTCCATGATCTACAAAGAGATAAAAATAAAACATAATAAAAAAGAAATCAAGGGGAATGTTTTGGAGAGATAAATGGATCCACTTTTACTATCTATTTGTTTAGTATCGAAAACTTTGACATTGAATGAGACTTTAGGGTTAAGAAACACGATTTGCTCCACGAAATTGTCAAAATATTGTTAGGTCGCGACTATGATGTATCAATTATGATAAATTTTTTTGGCGCAAACTTTTTTCCTATTTTTCAAAAACCTCTTTCTGATCTTCAAGTTAAGAAGTAAGGCTATTAGCTTAAGCGTATTAATGATTATATGTATTAGTTTAAGTATATTCATGTTAGTATGTATATGTGTATTTATCTTGAATACATACTTAGATTATTAGTTAGTTAGTTTAAACAAACACTACACTTGTATATATAAACCATTGTATAAGTTATCAGATGTTGAAAATGAAACAGTTAATCCTTTTCAATATTTCTTTTTGCTTCTTTTTTTTAAGCTACCATGGCAAGAAATGCTGTCATTGTTTTACCCTCAATTTCAATAAGTTTCTTCTTCAAAGTTATTCTCAATAGACTTTATAAGCTCCAATGTCAGTGTTAAAACTTCATTCTTCTGCTCTAATTTTTCAGCCTCTGGCACTCCAGTTATTTCTCAAAAGTGTGCCTTAATTAGTGAGTTGTTTCTAACTCCTTTGCTAGAAGTTCAACTTTGGACCGTAACTTCTCTTCTTCAGTTCTAAACTCTTGGTCAGCAATAAACACGGAGATGGTATGGATCATTATTCTTTCCAAGTAAGCAATAGACATTCAAATCTGTTAATCTGCGATGCGAATCAATTAAACCTAGCAAATTTGAAAACAAACTAGCTAGTTTCAGAGCTTTAATCGATTAGGTGATGAACTCGATCATTAATCAATTAGATAAAAGTAATAATAGATTAAAGAGCAGGATCTTTCTTTCCTGATTGATTAGTTAGTGGCCATAATTGATTTTAAGAAGGGTTTTGAAATATATGAAGTTCAATAATGTATAAATGAGTGTGAGTATCTCTCAAAGTACAAAGGCAATGTACACATACTCAAAAACTTCAATTCATTTTGATGTTGATCTTTGCATTTGACTATCTTTGTTCTCCGCACATAAATCTTCTTAACTTCGCTTTTTAATAACGTCAATCTTTTTCTACTTTGATGATGCTCATGAATATTTAACTTTGTTATTTTTCATTATCAAAACAACATCCATTATTATTATAACATATACAACATGTAAAACCAAAAAAAGATATCTGTCCCGAAGAAGAAGATCCAAAGACCTTGGAAATGCGCGTATTCCTGCCTTATAGAAACATCTAATAAAGGTGAATGATTGAAAAAGGACTCTCAAATCACAAAACGAATAATATACTAACATTTATTCCATTAGACAACTATTATGTCTTTAACTTTGGCGTAAGAGTGTTCGCAGATACTACCATCCTTTTTTATTACTAAATCGAGACATAGGAACGCCAGCTAAAAGTTGAAATACACCATCAAATCTAAATTAACAAGTCTAGAAGTGAACACCTTTAATCTGTACAAGATCAGATTACAAATGTTCTCTTCTACCATCTCATAATTCTGTCTCTCATGATGTCACCGTCTATGAGCAAGAAAGTTAACGTGGATAACAACGTGAACTTTCTACCAACATTGTGTGCATGTTATAAGAGGACACACCTATTGTCATCCTGATCTTAATAAGTCTTGGTATAGATAATATCAAAAATGAACAATTTCCAATTCAAATCAAAGTCATTGGAGTTTGGGTGAGTTTGTTTATATTCTTATTTAAAAACATTTTATGTATAAATGTCATTTCTTTCTTAAATTATTGATACGGTTCATTAGTGTAGTTAATAAGTTATGAATCTGAGAGTTTTAATGCTTGTGGTCTCAAAAAATGATGCAAATAACAAATTGTGGGCGCGGTCACATAAAAAAGTTGTAAGCCACTGGTCCAAACTCATGAATAGTGCATTAATAAGAAGTACGTACATGATGAACAAATATTTCACCCTCTCACAGTACCAAATTCAGAGAAGGTGTTCTGCTCTGCACAACTCAATGGTGGCATGAAATTGGACTGGTGCTAAAACATACTCTCACGGTACTGTGCATATCCTCCCTAACTATGTATGCAAACTGTTAGCAAGACATTAAAGTTTTCAAGGACTAATCTAAACTACAAAAGCTTCAATCTACAGAAAAAACATGTATTTATGTATTTACATAATGTTTTAACTGCGGAATAATAATTCAATCTTCAATCTACCATGGACCGGTTTGTGTTCGTCTTAAGCATTTTCTCTTGACTTCTCGCTGCAAATTCATCATTTCTTTAACCTGCAATATCACGGAGTACAAACAGTTGGCAAAAACATGATTTGGAACAAGTGTAAATGGTCTGAGAATATGTGAAAGTGGTTCAGAAGTATGTTTATACAGTAAAAGCAGACGCCAAAACATTCATAAAATAAATAATCAGACATCACATGCTAGTTCATGATCACTCCTACTACTGTTCTCCCACTGAGAATTCCAAGTAGCAAGCCTAACATGCGAGGATGAAACAGTTAGAATTATGATAGTTAGCTATAGATATGCTGAATGAAATGCAAAAGATAAGTATGCTCTAAATTGGGATTTCATGAGAAGGGGAATCCTATACTGAGTTCTGGTAAACTTTATTCACAAACCAGTTGCAACTTACTGAAAGAAATGCAACCACAATTTATGTCAGAAAAGCAATCTCAACCAGAAATGAGTACTTTTCTCATTACCAGAGAAAAGCACTCACAGTCACTGCATAATCCCAAAAAATACACGGATTGGTATCTAATCAAATAAAAAATAAAATAGTTTTTTTTTTAATAATTGATGGCATGAGATAGTTAACAGGAGAACCTAAATTAGGCAGTAGTTCAAAGCAGGTATATGTTCGGATCACTACTAACACCAAACCAGCCGTTTTTATGCTGAACATGACCAGCACACCAAAATGCGTTGATTGGCAAAGCCTGGGATCAAATGTTATCTTCATAATGACCTTTGTCAAACCCTCCATTGCTCTTGGCGGAGGATTGACCAATTAGCATGTTATATGAAGGAGGCTAAAACCTCGATTCATGACATCTTGACCAAAATAGTCACAAAACAGGGCACAAGAAAACGACTGTTTTAGAAAAACTTGTGACATGTACAGTTACGGTAAATTCAAATACATGCAATGACTAAAAACCAAAAAGGAGTGATTTCCATTATTTTTCAGAAAGCTGAACTTACTTGATTTTTCTGAATTTCCATGATTTCTTCCTGCAGTATTCAAAATAAAGGTCGATTAGGAGCATTTTAATGCAAGAGACGTTAAGCCACAAATTCAAATGAACACCTGCATATACGGAAATAGCCAGAATTACCTGTTTTTTCTGAAGTTCTTCATTCTCTTCTTTTAATTTTGCAACTTCTGCTTCCAATTCCATGGTATAAGCCTGAAAAAAGAAATGAAAATAAAAATTTAAGACTGGACTTACAGCTGATATCTTGATAATTTTTACAAAATTTCAAAACTTCAATACATTTCCATGTCACGTTCCCACCAAAATCCATTTACAGGTTACTTATTATATGCTTTTATGGATCTTATGATGATCCAACTGCAGTTATATCCACCAATCAACTGCACTATTACCTTGTTAAACCTGAATCTGTATAACTTCCCATGACTGTAACTTGTCAAAAATCTTTCACTTTTCACCAGGTCAGTTCGCTATCATATTACCACTCTGCTGCAGATGTACAGCATGCTTAACAGAGGACAAAAGCAGAATGTCAATGGCTGAGTAGTATACCTAGTATTAAAATCATAACATGATTCTTATCACCATTACATTCTTTTGCTTTTGAAATGATTGCATAATGCAACATCAGCTGCCACCAAACCCTATTAGGGGTATGTTTTGATTCCCTTATTTGAGTTTATCCACTGGCATAAGCACTTGTTAGACTGTTTGGGGAAAGCTTATGGAAACAGCTTATGGCATGTCCGTATGCTGTTTTCATCTTATTTCATAGGCTCTTCAGACTAGCTTATGAAAAGAGCTTGATATTAATTGATCTTTTGTTATAAAGATAGCTTATATATAAACAAATATATGATAAGCGCTTAATTAAGTTGTTTATCCAAACAGGTATCAATTATATTTCAAAATAAAGGAAGGCCAGAAGAACTCTTTTCTGTTACTAGAAGTAAAATCTACAGCCGCGTTCGATTCCATCGCTCAAACCAGTTCGATGCTATCGCTCAGACCAGTACATGGAGGTGGCAGTCACAAACGCCTTTTCATCCATTATTTGGTCTAGATCTCAGCATAAGTTAGTCTTCTTGCATCCAAGTAAGTGTTCATTTGAACAAGTTAGAGAACTATGATTGCCAAATTTAAGTTAACAATAAAATTACAATAACCAGACGTAAAATGAAAAACATTTACCTGCTTGCGAGCACGGGATCTAGCCGCTGACTCTCTATTCTTTATCATTCTTCTCTGTCTCCTCTCAATTACCTTCTCAACAGCTCCATTACCCTTCCTTCCTCGCATACCACCATTAAACACATAAGGAACCGGCGACACAGAAGAAGTATCCCCATTAGACTTTCCAAGTTTATCACCAGATATTTGGTTAGCCGGGGACACGGCACCAAGTTGAACAGCCCCAGGTGCCAAACCAACCATACTAATCCCTCCACCTTGCACAAGATTTGCATTCATGCCTTGATCAGGAGAAAGCCCCATAATTCCACCTCTCATTGCTTGATTACTAGACAAAGGCATCTGAGTTGCATAGTTCAAAACAGGTTGCTTCGGAAATATCTGCTGCTGATGTTGCTGTTGCTGCTGTTGTTGCTGAAGTTGATGTTGCTGAAGTTGCTGATTCTGATGTTGTTGCTGAGACACTGAACTCTGCATCTGTTGCTGATTTGCTGATCTAATCCCATTCACATTCAATGGCAAATTAGTAGGACTCTGAAGACCAACAAGTGGATCATCATTAGTACCACCATTCATTCTATTATTGTTGCCCATAAAACCAGCAACTTTATTCATCTGCTGAGCCTGAAAAGCCAAACCCAAATTACTATTATTTCCAACACGCGCTAAATCAAGAAAAACCCCATCATTCGGTTTCGCATCTTCCCTAACAACACCAGCTCTAACCAAAAACTCTTCCAAAGTCATTTCCCCCAAAGTTGGTTGTCTTTGAGCCTGCGGCGCAGCCAAATTAGGACCATAATCCTTCGAAATATCCTTCCAAACTTCATCAACTGTTTTCTGACTAAGCGTCCGCGGCAGCGTCAAAGAGCCCTGCCTCTGCAAATGATTACTAACAGCCTCTTCTCCCCCCATTGTTTGAACCTCTTCTGCAGTCCAAATGTTCTTCAACAATTCATCCATGTTCATTGACCCAAAATCTTTCCCAGAACCTCCCATACTATTCATAAATTCATCAATCGTCAACGAGTACACCGACGATTGCCGCGCTAGCGAGAAACTCCCCGCCGTTGTCCTCCCACCACCGCCAGCGACGGAGGCTCCCGGATCATTCCCAAACCCCTTGAAATTCATGCTTTTAATTAATCACTTCCGGTTTCCCCCAAATCTGAAGCAAAACACAATCATAATCACTCCTAAATCACAAATCTAAATCCCCTAACTCCCAAACTTCAAACATAAGCTAACAAAATTACCACAATTTAAGGAAAAATAAATAAACAACTCAGATTTTCAATTCTTTACAAATTACAACCAAATTGATCATAAAAACAGAAAAAAATTTCCTTTTTTTCCTCTCTTTTTCAAAAAAGAACAACAGTAACAAAAAAACGAAGAATTAAGCTGAGTTAAACTTGCACGAATCATAAAAAGAAAAAAAAAAGAAAAAAAAAGTTGAATTTGTTGATGTGAGTGTGATACAGGTGGATTAGATTTGACTGAAGCATAATTAAAAAAAATGCATTTAATTTAATTATTTTAAGCTAATCAGAAATTTGTATAGTGTTTGTCAAACGTGGAAAAAATAAAGATAGTGAATATCAACGATAACATGAGTTTCGAGATCCTGTAACAAAAATAGACCAAAAATTTCAACGCTAGTGCAAAATATCTTTCTCGGGAAAAATGAAACGGAGTTGAGAAGAACGAAAAGGGAGAGAGGGGAAAAGAAAAGGAAGAAAAATCTGGAGAAAGAAAACTTACATGGCTGTGGTATTTATTTTACTATGGTTTAATAGTTAATATGAAGTATTCCCGATTTGGTATGTTTTTGGGAAATTTTGGTTTGTGTGAGAGAGTGTGTGGTGTGGTGGGTTTGATTTGGCTGCGTTCCTTTCTTCTTGGTTTCAAGAGGTTCCTCTCGATGCGCCAAGTGTCCAATGTCTCTTCACACTTTTTCGCTTTCGCTTTTTTATTTCAACAAGACTATCATTTTTTATTTATATGATGTTGAGATTGTTTTTATATTATTAGAATTTACTGGAATTATATAAACTATAGTATTGTTGTTTTGAGAAATGTGTATGTATATTAAAATGTAATGTAATTGGAGTACGTTTTGTGTGTTTAGTTTTTGTTTTTACTGAGATATGAGAGTTGAAATAAAATAAAAGATCAGGAGGAGAAGGTGTGAAAAGAAAAAAGGGAAAATAATGGAGATGGGTATTACTGCCGACCAGGGTACGTGTACCAATGAAAAGAGGTTGGAAGTTGGGAGGGGAAGGATGTGACAGCAACCAATAACGTTTTGCTTTCTGTTACAATCCTAGCCGTACACGTTTTCTTTTAAAGATATGGTCACTAATGCCTACTTTTTTTTGTTGAAATAATTGTTTATTTATTAAATAATTTTTTAGGAATATTTTTTGAATATCCATTTTCTTTGAATAAAAAATAATGATATTAGTATGCTATACTTTCAAATTAAAAAATAGTCACTTTACACACTCATAAACTTCATCTTGATCTTTTAAAAGAAACTGAAAAAAAAATTTAGTAAAAAAAGAAAAACTTCATCTTCAAAATGTTATTTATTAAAGAATAGTGCATATTAATTTCACATACATCTTTTTTATGGTTATATGATAAAAGCAGAAAAGCAAAAGGAGTTTATGTCTTAATAAAAAGTCTTTTAAAATATTCACAAATAATTATAAGAAAAAGTAAAGTAAATGTTGATTTATCATTATATGGATTTTCTATGATCATATTTGAACTTGATAAGGATTGAAGTATCATTGTTACAATGGTTTCAACACATTTTTTTTTAGACCGCAAAAAAGAGGAAATACTTGAATTATCAAATGATCGGTATGATATGTGATGCTGCGGAAAAACTAAAGTAATTGTATATATAGTTATTGACTATGTTTTTTCAAAGACACATATGTTTTTTATACATCATTGTATCGAGGAAAATTGTGAGTATAAGCAATTGATTAACTTAACTCAAAAATACAGAGTCGTCACCGCACTTTTATTTTTATCCAAAAAGAGAAAAGGAAAAAGAGCGAATAAAACCTAAAAGTTCTAAAACAAGAACAAAAACAAAGATCTGGGCAAGGGGGGTTAGTTACCCAATGGGAAAGTGTTAGCACCCAAAACGTCTATAGTACTCTATAGGAGCTCTTTGAAATATCTACACTTTTTTGTTTGCAAATGTTTGTTTGAAATGAAATCGGGGAGATGAGAGGAAAATTATTTTTAAGATTTTTGTGTTTGGAGAGACATGTCGCCTCATGCCTACGTACCCACAAAGTGAAATATAGGATCAAAATCCCGTAATTCGTGGTACAAATAACAAAATAGGTTTGTTATGGTTGATTTTAAATGAAAAGGCAAGTCGTCATTTCCAAGCAAATAGTTTCGCTTAAAGAGATGACTCATGTCTAAACTTATGAAAAAGTTTTAAAAGAAAAAGTGCATAAAGCACAAAAAGTTTGAATGAGTTTGAATGCTTTTTATGTCTTTTTGAAAAAAAGTCAAAGTATGATTAACATTAATTGACATTTATTAAAGAAAAGGAAGTTTGAAAAAGTACTTGACAAAAGTTAAGGTTTTATTGTGAAAACGATTTTAGGTTTGAAACAAGAAAGTTTTTGAAAAAGGGAGGAGATTTTGATAATTTAAGAAGGGGAGAAGATGAAGTGACTACCCTAGAAAGCAAAATAAAAGCTAGAGATAAGAAGGATATAACCAACTTGTAGCACACTCCATAGCAAGTCAAATAAGAATTCCATCCATCTTGAAGCATAAGCCAATAAGCAAGCTAAATAAAGGCAAAGATCCATAATACTTCAAGCATAGGGAAATAGACTTAATTCTAAGTCCAAGGGCCCAAGAATAGTCCAAGAGGTCCAAGGTCTAAGAATAGTCCAAGAGAATAGCCACAAAGTTAAGAGCACCAAATTTTTTAGAGGATTAATTCTTTATTAGTGTTTTGAACAAGATATGGTCCAAGGGGACAAAAGAAAAGAGCAGAAACATAAACATGTGTCCAATGGACAAATGAAAAATAATAGAAGCATAAACAATAATATAATATTAGATGATATTAATGGAGCATAAAGATAAAAGATGGATAGGGAGCAAGAAGGAAACATAAACAAAATTAGTACAATGATATCGTTAGTGAGTTAGTGATTAGTCGTTACAGCAAATGATCAACGATGATTAACTCATGCACTTAAGTCAAAGTTGATGAAGACTCGTAAGAGGATTGATAAAATCAAAGCCTCCTAACAACAAGCTTCATAGGTGATGGACTTAAGACAAATAATCAACCATGCTTGGACTTTCAAACATAAGTTTGAGCCACAAATGGTCACTTTCCGATTACGGGACAATTTAGTGCTATGTTAAGCAATCGTAATCGAGTTTATGTAGAAACTATGACTATCCGAGGCTGGTCAATAAAAATGTTAGTGCTAATGCATGCTAGAGAAGTGATGTGTAGATCACTCTTTGAAAGCAATACCGCACGAAAAGAAAATAGGTAACGATCTCGTCTTCATGAAAAACTTGAAATAAGTTCAAACGATATCGAAGATTTTCATCGATCAAAAGAAAAAAAGAGAAGAGGAAAGGGAATGCCATATTGGATTTTAACTTCTAGGTCATTCCGTCTTTAAGTTCATCCACTCATCTTAGTCGATTAAAGCACTAAACATATTATTAACTCGAAGCACCTAAAATGAATTGAACAATTCACTTTAAAGATAGATTTGAATTAATGAATGTTTATCCAACTTCATCTACACTCTAAGTACAAAGAGGAAAAGGACCTTTAAAAGTGCATTCCAAGGCAAAAATCAAAAGGAAATAGAAGAAGAAGAAGAAAGAACCAAAACAATCCCTAAACAGAGCCAAAAGGAAAAATCACCACTAGGTAACCGGTTACCCAGATTTGGTAACCGATTACCACTGCTAAAACAACAAAAAAAAAAAAGAAAAAATCAAGACTAGGTAACCGGTTACCCAGATCTGATAACCGGTTACCACTGCTAAAACAACAGCAAAATAACTTTAAAAAGTGCAGAAACCTGATCAATGATTTCTTCAAATACCTCATGATCAATGATGCAATTGAGCACATAAATTCAAGTAAAATAACATCAATCAACACCAATAGAACACAATTTGCAAGATCCAAAGATCAAGCAACAAGAATCAACAATAGATCATATTGTGGAAGATGTATCAAGAAAATCAATGGTGGATCAAGAAATTATCACTCCAAATCTGGAAATTCTTCAAATCAACTCCACAAATCACACTTCAAAGCCTTGATCTACTAGAATTGATGATGAAAAAGTGAATGGATGAAGGTTTAGCTCAAAAATTAGTAAGTTCTAATGATGAACTTACTAACTTTCAATGGAAGAAAGAGCTTTGGTGAGTTTGGTAATTGGAGAAAATTGAGAGTCAAGAAAGAATTGACAAGGTGAATTTGGCTATCAAAAGCTTATAAAATGAGAGAAATGAGGCCTATATTTATAGAATTTAGGCTTGGAAAATTTGGTGGATTGGAGTTTGTTTTAGAATCAAAATTAGGCTTGCAATTTGAATTTGGAGGGAAATTAATGATCAAGTGGTGATTAGTGAAGGTGTATGGTGGGAATTAATTATGATGAGGTATGGGAATTAAAATGAAGTGATCTAGAATATTCTCATGTTGCAATATTTGAATTTGGTGCCAAAAATGCTGCAGAATTTGAAATTGCCCAATTTTCACAAAATTCACGCAGGATAATCGGTTACCCAATATTGGTAACCGGTTACCACAGACAAAAATGGTGAAAAATGGTCTTTATCATGTGTTGTCTTGGCTCTGGCTCGATTCATTTTCTTGTCAAATAAGGCATGAAAATAAACACATGAACCTTAGAGTCTCTTGAATAATAATCAATAAAAACTTGAGAACTCTTGATCAGATGAATTTAAATTGTTTGTGGATCAACTTTGACTTTGTTCAGATGAAATTCATTCGAGCGGAGGGACTATTGCTTAGTATTTTTGATTCAAACTTCCCTCTGAAAAAGTTAGTAAAAAGGGAAAACAAAATATTTTTGGAT